AGGGTTAAAAGGCAGAAGGTGCTTTTAATTAATTTATCCACCACCTCTGGACAGCTCCCTCGAGGCATCTCAGTCTGGGGTGGATGGTGTCTTCCGGGTGCGCCTCTGGATGCACTACCCACCCTCTCCATCCTACTCTCTGCCCAAGAGGCTAACCTGTGGGACTCCCGCAGGGATGCCCTCCTCCTTGGGCTTCCATTGTGAGCCCCGAAAGGAGACTAGAGAGAAGGAAAGGAAGCAGGCAGGTTGCTCGTGGCTGGCCGAGATCCTCTTCTCAGGACGTTCCTCTCCCAGGACTCTGTTCTTCCTGTTCAGATCCCCACTGCTTCTGCTCCTTGAGGTCAGAGGTCATAATGTGTCCCCTCTTTGCTAGCCCTGGGACACTGCCTTAGCCATTGTGGTGTCCCCACATCATTATAAATAGCCCCCGTCTTAAACGTTCCTCAAATTAATTATCCTGACTTGAGAGTGCCATCTGTTTCCTGCTGGGGCGCTGGCTGGTACAAGTTAAAAGCCTTGCATTTGGGTCCTGGCACTGCCACTCACTAGATATGTGACCTTGGATGTGCCACTTAATGACTCTGGGTCCCGAGTCCTTTAACTGTAAAATGAAAGGGTTGAATTAGATGTTTAAAAAGTCAACAAATACTTATTGTGAACCTACCGCATACCAGGCTGTACACCAGATGCTGAGAAATTGATGGGGAACGTGACAGAGCTGAGTCTGCTACTCTATTAGATGGTCTAGGATATAAATGTCTTCTTGGGACTCACTCATTCCAACATCTCTGATTCCATGATAGTCCAGTAATTCATAAGTCAAGAAGAGACTTAAGGAAGGAATTTCAAGGAGGATTATTCTACCTCAAGTTAGGGGTGGGAGAGGGAGAAAACTGGGTAGGGACAGATGGTCACAGGGAAGTTCTAAACCCAGGGACAAGAGTCAAGGCCGTTAGGGTAGGAACATTAAACCTGTCGGAAAGAATGATTCAGGGTTTCTGTCTTTGAATGTGTGTGTGTGACATGTGAATGTGTACCGGTGTATATGGATGAAGATCATCTCATCGTCATCATCATCATCATCACAGCAATCAAATGGAATGGAGTGTCAAAAAGAGAGAAGTTTGTTACAAATAGTGGAAAAACTAGCAAAGTGAAAAGAGAAAAATTATAAACCGTGCTTACTTGTGTTAAATAATAATAATCATCCAGTCATTTATCAAGACCATTTACTATTTGTATCTAGTTGTATCTAGTATCAGGCCACACAATACCATATGCATAGCATTAAATATGTGTCAAGTTGGCAGGGTGCTGTGGCCCAGGCTTGTAATCCCAGCACTTTGGGAAGCTGAGGCAGGAGGATTGCTTGAGCCCTGGAGTTCAAGACCAACCTCGTCCCTACCAAAAAGTAAAAAATTAGCCAGGCAAGGTGGCATATACCTATAGTCCCAGGTACTCAGGAGGCTGAGGCTGGAGGATTGCCTGAGTCCAGGAGGTCAAGGCTGTGGTGAGCTGTGATCATGCCATTGCATTCCAGCCTGAGTGACAGAGTGAGACCTTGACTCAAAAAATTAAAATAAAATAAAAAACAGGCCAGGCTCAGTGGCTCAGCCTGCAATCCCAGCACTTTGGAAGGCCCAGGCCAGTGGATTGCCTAAGCCTGTGGGTTCGAGACCAGCCTGGGCAACTTGGCGAGACCTCCCCTCTACAATAAATCAAAAATTAACCAGGCGTGGTAGCTCGCACCTGTAGTTTCAGCTACTTGGAATGCTGAGGTGGAAGGATCGTCAGAGCCCAGCAAGTCAATGTTGGGGTGGCTGTAAGCGTGCCACTGCTCTCCAGCCTGGGCGACAGAGTGAGACTCCAACTCAAAAAAAAAGTGGTTAATCTTATTATAAATGCCATTTGATAGGAAAGTAAATATTGCATAGATAAGATGGATCATCTTTGTCTGTCACACTGGCCAGTGAGACCTGGCCAGCGAGGCCTGCAATGCCTCTGTTCCTAGGCCTCCCCAGGGGACAGCTGGAGGTGATGCTCTCTAAGTTGGAAGTGAGAACTGGCATCAGAAACAGGAGAGTGGTTTGGCTTGCAGAGTTTTTTAAACGGAATTTAAATTCTAAGCCTGCTTCGTCTCAACGGTCTTAATCTTCCACATTTATACACGACTTTCCTCCCTTACTGCTGCCAGTCTCTGGTCTTTTTCCATCTGTGTTGGGACTTTCTTTCCTACAGCACAAGATGTTCCCGCGTCTACAGGCTGTGTTTTCATAATGGTAACGACACCCCACATTCCCTCAGCACTTATGGTTTCCAGAGCCCTCTTCTCTGTCTCTGTCAACCCTAGCCACTCCGTCGACCAAGTAGGGGTTATTCTATTTTCTGGAGAAGAAAATGAAGGTTTGGTCATGTGTCCAAGTTCATGTGTTGGTAAGGAAGAGGGCTGGAGCGCCTTAGCCTCTTGGGTTGGGAGCTGTCGGTCATTACTCTGTACTGTGCGATCCTGATGTCAGGGAAGCATTGTCCCTTGACCTTCAATGCCTCTCCTGGATCCGTTCTGGGTCAATGGTCTGCTTAGCCATAGGACACACCAGGTCTTTTTATCTTCAAGAGCAGCCTCTGTACCTGTTCACTGCCTCTGCTTGCCGAGCTGTTGCCCAAGATACAGTATAGACAGTCTTACTTAAGGGGCATGACTGGCCCTTGCTTACCCTGACATGTACCCACTGCTTTTTCACTTCAAAGACAACCTTTCCTTTTGAGGGTGGGAGCAGAGCTGCCCAGGAAATGAACTCTAACCCTAATACCAGACCCAGGCAGAGCACTGCAGATGTGAGTTTCTCCTGTGTTATTTTTGAGAAACCATCAGGGCCTATTCTCAGGGTCTGCTGTACACAGCTGGGAAGGGGTTCCATGGCTTGGAGCCAATTGGGCTCCATGTGCCATTGTCCACACTCTTCAACTGGCTCCAAATGCCTGAATATGATAGTCAAAGCACTCCAGGACCAGGCCCAAGGTACTTTCCAGACTAACTTCCACTTTCCTTCCTGCTCCTTGTCCCCCCCCCCCCCC